AAATAAATAAACAAATAAAAGCTGGAAACGACTGATCCAGCCGGTTTTTCAACTGAAACAGACACCAAACGACAAGTCTGATTACCGACAAGGGTTTGCCATTTCCTGCTAATAACCAAATACGTCATAACAAAGTCAACTTCTATGTGCTGCTTCAGTGGTAGCAGACACTTACAGGACGCCGTTTTTATTTCAGATATTAGACAGGTTCCCACCTCTACTGTACAAAGTTTAAAGAACAGAACGAGACAAAAAAAATAAGAACACACAACGAAACCTGGATTAACTTATTTATTGTTTCTAACGGAGAGCAGCAGGAACAGCTCAGAGCAGATCACAGTGGAGAAACCGGAGCAGGAAACTGGCCTCAAAAGCCATCGGCAGCCCCCCCCTCCCAACCGATAACGAACTCAGACTCAAACAACTGAATCTGGAGGCCCAAATTATTTAAAATCCCGAGCGGCTCCTGAGTCCGAGTTTCCTGCCCCGATTTCCATTTGTGTCGAGGTCTTTCCATATCGTAGAAATACAAAAATAAACCAAAATAAAACACAAATATCCGGTCTTCCTTCAGAAGAACCACAGCCCCCCACCATAGAAACATTAACAGCTATGAATTTAGGGCGGAGTCTGCTCCTGTTGGGTCTTTGAAACTATTTGCAGACGAGAAAAAAAAAAAGACTGAATTCAGTCAATTGTGTATTTACCAACCAAACCCTTTTTATTGTTTTCATCCATAACATTTAAATAACTTGAAGCTAGTTGCGGTACAGCCCGGTGGGGGTGAAGCTGGAGTAAAGTTTGACGCAGACTTCCCGTTTCTGTGCCCGACGTGTCCAGTGAGGGGGGACAGGGATCAGAAGTTGATGGCTTTGCCGAAAGAGGCGGCCAGGTTGGCTTCTCTGAAGGCCTCCGACACCGTCTGTGGAGGCGGAAACGGGGTTAGCTTAGCTGTGCGGTCTCTGGGGAGTAGGGTTTTCAAAAGTATCCATACTCAAAAAAGTGTAGATACTAAAACGTTGTATTCGGATACGATACCCTGCGCCCCTTATCTCGATTTAATTATTTAATTACATTGTTTATGATCATTAACGTGACGTTAGCCTTGAATTGCTAGCTGTGGCTAATGGCTAATAACAACACGCTAACATTAATGTGGGCCAAGTTGTATCCGGATACGATACTCATTTTCAAAAGTATTGATACTTCACCCCCCCCTCTCTATGATTTATTTATTTATTTACGTAGTTTATGATCATTAACGTGACGTTAGCCTTGAATTGCTAGCTGCGGCTAATGGCTAATAACAACACGCCAATATTAACGCGGGCCACCGGTCACCATAAAATCAGTAACAGGTCAGTTTGAAACAAAAGACACTAACCTGTCAAAATTCAGTTACATTTTTGGGTTTTTGTTTTTATCCTTTGGTATCGAAAATGGTATCGAGTTGAAAATATTTTCCTGAGTATCGGTATCGAGTTGAAAATGTTTGTATCGTGACAACCCTAGTATGGAAGGATTTCGGCCTAAGAAATAACAAACATTTCACTTTAAAAAACGACAGACGTGGATTTGTTAAACACGGAGGAAACAAACAGAACTGTTGCTGTGTTGGCTGCCTCTCTCTGCTCCCTCTGTCCTTCTGTCGCCCTCTCCCCCCCCCCCTCTCTCTCTCTCTCTCTTGCCCTCTCTTTCCCTCACCCCCAACCGGCCGAGGCAGATGGCCGCCCACCCTGAGCCATGGTTCTGTTCGAGGTTTCTGCCTGTTAAAAGGAAGTTTTTCCTTGCCTGTGTCGCCTAGTGCTTGCTCATGGTGGGAATTGTTTGGTTTCTGTAATTAACTTCAGAGTAGGGTCTGACCTGCTCTGTTTGGAAAGCGCTGTGAGACAACTGTTGTTGTGATGTGGCGCTATATAAATAAAATTGAATTGAATTGAAAACAGTTACAAACCATAGATCTCATTTCCAAACACTGGTTGACGCCTCACTCTACTATTCTGTAGCATCGTAAGTACCTGTAAGTACCAGTTTTAATCTTTATTTATGCTTAATTGAGTCATACCTGGATAGTCGTTACAACAGGTTCTTTTTCCGTAAGAAAAATAGACAGTTTTTGTAATATTTGAATTGAAAATTGAATTGAACTAAACCTGTCATGTTAAACATGTTAAACATGCCACAGAGTGGGAGCTAATGATTATTCCAGGAGCTCAGAGGGAGTTATGGACAGTTTAACTCCGTCTGCTTTATCGGGACCTCTCCTCCAGGAGGTGCGTTTGTTTTCGTGTGGAGGCGGGACTTACGGGGTGGGCGTGGCAGACCCGGGCGATGTCCTCACAGGAGGCGCCGTACTCCATGGCCAGGGCCGCCTCGTTTATCATCTCTCCTGCACCCTGAAGGGAGGAGAAGAACAGGGCCGGTCAGGGCTGGACTACTGCACGGTCAGGAGGTTCAGAAGAGGAGGAGGTGGGAGGAGGAGGAGGAAGGGAAGAGGAGAGGAGGAGCAGGAGGAAAGGAAGAGGGGAGGAGGAGTAGGAGGAAAGGAAGAGGAAGAGGAAGTGAAGGAAGAAAGGAAGAGGAGAGGAGGAGAGGAAAGGAAGAGGAAGAGGAGGAGCAGGAGGAAAGGAAGAAGAGAGGAGGTGAAGGAGGAAAGGAAAAGGAGAGGAGGTGCAGAAGGAAGGGAAGAGGAGAGGACGAACAGGAGGAAAGGAAGAGGAGGAGCGGGAGGAAAGGAAGAGGAGAGGAAGTGAAGGAGGAAAGGAAGAGGGGAGGAGGTGAAGGAGGAAAGGAAGAGGAGAAGCGAGGAGGTAAAGGAGGAAGGGAAGAGGAGAGGACGAACAGGAGGAAAGGAAGAGGAGAGGAGATTAAGAAAGACAGGAGGAAGAGAGGGGGTGAAGGAGGAAAGGAAGAGGAGAGGAGGTGAAGGAGGAAAGTAAGAGGAGAGGAAGTGAAGGAGGAAATGAAGACGAGGGGAGGAGAAGGAGGAAAGGAAGAGGAGAGGAAGTGAAGGAGGAAGAGGAGAGGGGGTGAAGGAGGAAAAGAAGAGGAGAAGCGAGGAGGTAAAGGAGGAAGGGAAGAGGAGAGGAGAGGAGGTGAAGGAGGAAAGGAAGAGGAAGAGCTGGAGGAAGGGAAGAGGAGGAGGAAAGGAAGAGGAGAGGAAGAGGAGGGGGAGTGAAGGAGGAAAGGAAGAGGAAGAGGAGGAACAGGAGGAAAGGAAGAAGAAGAGCAGGAGGAAAGGAAGAAGAAGAGCAGGAGGAAATGAAGAGGAAGAGCAGGAGGAAAGGAAGAGGAGGTGCAGGACGAAGGGAAGAGGAGAGGAGGTGAAGGAGGAAAGCAAAAGGAAGAGGAGGAGAAAGAGGAAAGGAAGAGGAGAAGAGGTGAAGGATGAAAGGAAGAGGAGAGGAGGTGCAAGATGAAAGGAAGAGGAGAGGAGGAGGAAAGGAAGACGAGAGGAGGGGAAGGAGGAGCAGGAGGAAATCCTCTTTTGAAACCCTGACATGTGAAAACTTTCATCCCAAACATGATAAAGCAACTTGACACAAGCTAGCAGTTAGCTAGCGGTTAGCTAGCGGTTAGCTAGCGGTTAGCTAGCATTTCTCACCGTTAGCTTCTCTGACCTTACCGTGCCTACGATGTGGGCCCCCAGCATCCGGTCGGTCTCCTTGTGGCTGAGGATCTTGACCAGGCCGTCGGTGTCGGCGTTGGTCTTTGCTCGGCTGTTAGCGGCGAACGGGAACTTGCCCACTTTGTACGGGACGCCCTGGGAAAAGACGGGGGGGGTCACACCAGAACCTCATCCACGCGTTTGAACCCGTTCGGGATTTTTCATAGAATCCACGGAAGGGTCATATGGTCCTGTTGTCTTTCTTTCTCCTTTTTTTACTTTTTTGTTTCTTCTCTCCCCCCCCTCTCTCTTTCTAAAGGATCTCTCTCCTTTCCACTGCTCTTCTTTCTTCCCTTTCCCTCTGTCAGGTTCGGCATTATTGGACATATGGAAGTTTGGTAACAAAAATGAATAAATAAAGCAGTTTTGGGTAATCAAGGGGGGCTTCTCACTAACAAAGCCTCTCTTGGCAAAGCAATTTTGCTCAGCATAGCACGGTACTCAGTCACCAATGTGTTTGTCTTTGTATATTTCGATAGTTTGATTCGTTTTTGATCTGTATAGCACTTTGGTCAGCTCCGGTTGTTGTAAATGTACTATATAAAT